CCTGGTGACCACATCCTGGTGAGGAACCTCAGACGGGCGAATTGGAAGTCCGAGCACTGGATTGGTCCGTTCCAGATTCTACTGGTTACCCGGACGGCCGTGAAGATCGCGGAGCATGCGACTTGGATCCACATCTCCCACTGCAGGAAGGTCCTGCATCCCCCCAGAGTAGCACCGGACGGCACTACTCCTACATCCGAGCACGAGGCCACTGCTCCGACCTCGGCTCCTGTTTTGTGATCGGCTGATCACATATCCTTTGAAGTGAAAATTGCACCTGAGCCTAGAAAAATGGCTGGGTGCATTGTTGCTAGACTATTTCTTATGCTCTTTTTCACCCCATTCACCTGTGGGCGTGTCCCAGAACTGATTAATCAAGACGCCCCCCACCCACCTGTTTTGAGAGCTCATTCCACCTGGATCGATTACTGTACACATGGGCCCAACATCTCTGTGACAGCTGGCACCACTAGCACTGTCGTTTTGAACCCATGTGATTATTTTTACTGTTCGGACATTACTGTTATGATATGGGCCGAAATGTATGTCTGTTACAGCGTTCCTGATGTGTGCCCCACCTGCAGCTCCTGGTCAGAGGCTCTTTGGACAAYGGGTTACTCTGACTGGGGATACACACTTACGGATGATGTCTCTGACATCAAGAACAGGATCAAAATCTGGAAAGTAAACAACACTTCTCCAGCTATCATGTTTCACGTTGCAAATGCTGTTCAATCTGACACTGGGTTTTATACCATTTGTGCTTACATAACTGGCTACGATGTTTGTGCACCTTTCTGGCTTTCTGTCCGTGTCCCACATGTTATCACCAAGTTATCTCCTGTTTTCAAGTCCTTAGATGCTGGGTTTCCTGGGGGTGCTGTCCATTACCCCCCTGTTTTTGCTGGTGTGGCGTCCAAGGGTCAAGCTGGAAATTTTTGGTGGAACACGGTCAGGTCTATTCTTCAAAGTGCTGGCTTAAACACTTCCTGCTATGCCTGTACATTGTTTCCACATGATGCAAGCATGTTTCTTCCTGTTAGGCCTCGCCCTTTGAACTCTACTGATTTCTTRTGTGCTTTGATGGTGCTGACCCCTCCTTTCTTAAAGGGGGCCAACGGCTGGGCTTATGCTAGAACAGATCTTCCAGCAYCTTGTGAACACATGTCTCGTGTTGCAATCMGAGCCACAGAAAGCAGTGCATTACGCACTGATGACTTTTCTTTATTTGAACCAGTGGGCACTGTTCATCCCTCATACAGTTCTATGTCTCATCCCTTTTGTGTTCACAGAGCCCGGAGCCCTGATAAACTTTTCCTTGGCGAGACAGTAGGCTGTCTTCAAATTGTTGACAGTACCGGGGAGATAGGAAATCTCCCAGGTACACAAATTCCGCCCCCTTTTAACGTCTCTCCCTGCATTGTTCGCCGTGTGCCTTCTAGGATTAAATCACACACACTCTCTTCATCTTTTGCCATTCAGGCCTATCTTCTTGCCTGGCCTGATGACCTGGGAGCAGGATGTCCHCAGGATTATGTCTGGTTGTGTGGTGTTCATTATTTCCAAGTTATCCCGCCAAATTGGTCAGGTACTTGCACATTAGTTGACCTGGTTCCTGTGATCACTGTGATAGATCAGCTTGTTTACACCACMCATCACTATCCTCAGTTTGTGCATTCTTCTTATGGCAATCATAGGTCAAAGAGATCTGCATTTGTTTCCACATGTGACAAGTTAGTGGGTGGTATTTTTCCTTGGTGGGGAACGGTTCATCTGGCTTATAGGTTGGATTCTTTGCACACTCGACTGGAGAACTTAACTGCTTTTGTTGAGGAAGGCTTTTCTGCTTTATCTCCCTTCCTAGTAGCATCGAGAAATATGCTGCTCCAGCACCACCTAGCTTTGGATCTGTTATTAGCCTCTCAGGGTGGTCTCTGTCATGTGATAGGTCCGTCTTGTTGTTCCTATCTCCCAGATGTCTCTGGAAACATTTCTATGTCTATTAATCATCTTAACAATCTGCTCTCGGAGATGAAAGCTGAAGAAACTGTCTCCATTGCATTTGAACTGATTTCAGCATATTTGAATTTATTCTTATCCTAGATTTTGTGGTTTTGATTTTTTGATTTTGGATTTTTAATGGTTGTGGGTGGAATAAAATCTTCCTGAATGGGGTGGATAGTCATTACAACTGATTGTAATACATTTATTTCTTCAATTATTCTCAGGTTCATTAAAGGTGGTGACCTCTATTTTTAAATTGTTGTTTAACTTGTCTAAATCTGTTAACTTAGAAGAAAATGCCTATTGGCATCTTGTTGTTCTGTCTTGTCCTAATTTGCTTTACTTTACCTGACAACTTGTTATTAATTAACACACTATCCGAGATAAGATTCTGATGGTACATAGGCGGAGCGCTCCATCAAGTATTCGCCGGGAGGCAGAACTTGTTTAAGATACCTTGTCTAAACTTGGACTTTTAAGTTTTTTAAATTTTGACATGTTTTGATCTTCATCGATTTTTTTTTCTCTGGTGTGTAATGATGCTCTATTTGTCTTTAAGATTTATTCATGTTGTGTTTTTGGCTTTATTGAAATGAATGTTTTTATGGTCGTTATTTTGATTTGCACTATTTCCTTGTACTTGATGTTTTTTTGCACTTATGGAGCAGACAATTAATAATTATTCCTTTTCTATTTCTGGTTTTGAGTATTGTCTACTCAAGAGGAGGGAATGTGGTGGATTAATTATCTTTGCCACCTTGACAYTGTCCACCGTCCGTATCTAVTAATATCTTATGACTGTTTCTTTAATCAGTGGCTACAGACGTCAGAAGCTACAGCATCAAGATGGCATCTTTTGACGTACCGATATGGTCACCTTGGGATTTAGAGCTTGTCATTGGCTGTTAGGGACATGAGGCAGGTTGTGATTGGTTGTTCTTTATCATATGTTGATAGCTGAAGGTATAACATTTCTCTTCCGCCCTCAGTCGGGCGGCCACATCTGACAGACTTCTCTGATTGTTTTCTGTTCAAATGTCTGCCCATTAATAAATAATTCTACGACCATACTCGCAAGACTTTTTGTCTTTTTAACATCCTTTCAACGTGTTTTCTGTCCGTTTTTGCTGCGACATATGCCATGTTGGCTAACCCTAACTCTGGAATAACACAATCCTCTTCAAATTTTGGGGAAACTGAAATGGGCTAAAGGAACATTCACTGTTAGACTGCTACTATACAAGCAGGCCTGAAGACAGACACACTGGAAGTAAGTGGGAACTTTGGAAACTTAGAAACCCAACATCCACCTGACATGACACTTAGCCAAGACTAATTGAATGGTTTTCACACAGGTTTGGGACCGCTGTGACTGTAGTTCAGTCATGGTAATGCACACAAAATTCATCACCAGCAGCAGCAAACAGAAGATTGTAGTTACAGCTGTGTTTGATCTTATCTTTGGAATGATAACAAAGGAGCTGAATAATGTGATATAAATTTAAAGAAGTAGATCTGCGAGACAAGAACTCATGAATCTGTCTTTGCTGTGTTGCACATCTTCACAGGAGTACATTGTTTGAAAATTGAGACACGAACGTAGCTTTTTTGAGTGATTAAATTTGCAACAGAATACCCTATTTATTTTAGAAAATATGTTAAACAGTGAAGAACAACAATTATTATTGTCATTATAACTTTTTTGGTACTGGAATTTCATCAGCCTGACATTAAATGATTACCGTTCTTTGTTGAAAAAAGTATTTTTTGTTAAAAATGACTTAGATGTCTGTTTATTTATGTGTTACATGAACATCTTACATCTTCAAATGATATTTTAAACAATTACATATCACGATTTAGGGGAGATTATGAAAATCAATGCAAAAAAAAAAACAAACAACAAAAACAAAACATAAAAAACAAACCTATAAGTCCTATATGTACATGTGTTTTCTATGTGTCAGTTGTTTTCCTTTTGACTGCTCCCTTACTGATAAGAGCATTTTACATCTAGATGTTGTTGATAGAAAATGTAATGCAGAGGCAACTCAACTTTTTAAAAGTAAGTTATTTTAAAAAAGTGTGCAAAACAAAACAGTTTTGCCACTGATTGTAATCTGACTGTCTTCTCTTTGTTCCTTTGCCTGAGTCTGACATGGTTTGTGCATATTTGAACCCAGGGTGCCGAGCAGACAAAACCTCTGGAGGCCTCCAGGATTCAATAGGAAAACTAGACATGGGTTTTTATGATGTAAAAACAAGTGTGCATTGCCTTGTAGCATGTCATTGCCTGCAGCAATGGACTTGCAGAATGAACTGACCAAGTTCAAATGTGTTTTCTAATCAAGTACCAGCTTGTGGCTGTCACAGGTGTTTGTAATGAGGGTAATTGTGTGAAAATATGAAGTTTAAATAATATTTTTATTAAAGTTACTGTAACTGGGATTTGAACCCTGATCTCCCACATAAAAAACTATGGCATTAACCACAAGACCATTGATGCTGGAAGAAAATACGATCCCAGTGTTTTATCTATATGTGTCGAAAAAGGCAACATTGCCAATGACGATCGTTGAAAAAGAACTACATAATATTACAACAGTTGAGCAATATTATACAAGATGTCTATGCTTATAAGATAATAATATAGTAATACATCAAATTACATAAATATCAATATTGTAATCACTGCAATAATTGAGATTAAATATACTTATTAAACCATGGTGCAGTTCCATACTGATGTAGGGGGATGAGTTATTTATTCAAATAACTTATCTTACATCTTCTCATAACAAAGTTATGAGTAAATTTTACCAAGGTTTCTTCTCATTACTTTAATATTTGTCTGTGCAAAGTGAAGTGACACAATTAGGGAACTCAGACT